GACACCACCCAAATGCAAAGCGAGTTGGATCGAGCTAACAAGAAACTGGACAGGTTAGAGGCGCTGAGGGAGGGTGCAGGGGAAAGGTATACAGGGGAGAGAGAGAAGCTGGAGCAACAGGAGAATTCCTTAGAGGAAAGGAAGACGTCTCTTGTCGCATTGCTTGCAGCAAGGGCTCAGTCAGGTAACGACTTTATGACTCGGGCGTTGGGCACATAGAGTAATGTGTACATAGGATAGAGTAGACAGAGTAATATGGTTTTATTATAAATTTGTTATCTTAATAACTCATATCCATGCATGTATCGCAATATCGTTAGACGCCGGACAAAATCGTAAAGGAGACGCAGGTATGTTGTGCCTACTCAGATAATTCAGAGGCCACCCGGGAATCCGCTTGTAACTTGAATATATTATTCGCAGAATTCGGTCGTCCTACCGGTGTAATATTTCAACGGAAAGACAGGGGCCTCTACCTTAGCGCTTGAGCGGGATATGTGATAGATGGGCTTTGTAACGAATGGAAATCATTCACGGACCATACCAATCTGGCAAGACCACATTTCTGCTTGCATTCGATAGAGCACTCAAGAATTCTAATATAGAACCTATATACTTTGAAATGACGGGAGGAAAGGGTAGTATCAATAAATATGGCTATGCTGATGGATTTACTAGAATTATATCAAATATCATTTGAGAAAATACTCGCGGAAGAAGCTATTGTACGGTCAGATCATGAAAATGGAAAAACGGCTTATCTTGCTTGCCAATACATCTTTACATCTGGTGGCCTTCTCTCCGTAGTAAAAACTTTCTTCAAAAACATCACACCACGCAGTAATATTTCCTACGTCATTGATCTCATGGACAATACGACGTATAGTCCACCCATGGAAACCGAAAGTCTTGAATCACCTTTTTACAGGGCCACGTTTTGTAGGATACCATTCTTTAATGTGCAAGAAATGGACAAGATTTTCGATTTATATAATGATAAAGTCGACCCGGATCCGGTTCCTTTGGATATCAAACTAAATATCATCCACGAATCCTGCGGACATCCTGCGTCTTTCATGATTCTTTTAAAGATCTACAACGATATTCGTCCAGCGACTTTACTCGATTGGAAAGTGGCAATAAAGCAGAATCTTATCGAATTTACCAACGGAACTCACAAAAAATCAAGACATATCTGATATCGATGAGTGACGATCAAAAACAGTGTGTTCGCTCACTCACAAACAATGGGATAGACACGTGGACGGCAGTACGCGAACAAATTAATTACGTTCTCGATGAAGACGAAAATTATCGGCAAAGGCTCTAACGACACACTGAGCATGGTGTTCGATGGAATTAAGAGATTGAATAAAGGTAAAAAAAATACTTGGTGGTCAAAATAAAATAACGCCACTATTTGATTTTAGTAGTTTGCGGTTATTACAAAAGTGTTGAATTGAATTTCATGTACCTGGACACTAAATTCAAGTGTGATGGTAGTTTTGGGTTGGTTAAGAAACTATATTAATATCGCAAAACAACAGTAAATTGTGTGAATAATGTTATTGAAGCTGTGAAAAAATCAAGTACAGCAGTGTGCCCCGTGCAATGAAATTGGCGAAGGCTTTCAATATTTGGATCTTAGTTCCATGTTAGAAAATTTTTTAAAAAATTGAGTGGCTTACAAAAATATCAGCATTTTGTACTTGAAGCAGGTGTGTTCATAGAGCTCAGCTGGTTACTACTGGTGCGTTTTCTGAATTTAAGTTGTTAAAAACTAGAAAGCAAGTGTTTCTGAAATTACCAAAGAATCAAACTCTGCCTCCTTTGGAGTATAAAAGACAAGAATATCTTTATCATAATATTCGCCCATTTGCTATTAGAGATGAATTCCAAAATATAATAATAAGTTGTCCCAAACCAATCTTACCGAAAATATTTTAGTCAACCGCAAATTTTATTATTTTATTAGTTTTGTCTGTTTCTATCAAATTTTTTTAATGACATTAATATTAAATAATCATATTAATAACAGAAATTAAATTACGACATTCAAAAAAATAAATAGACGAAGCAAAGGATACTCCAATTATTACACAGGAGTCCTTAAACCAGAAGAGAAGGCTATATTTGATAGCAATATTTTAAAATCAATGGCACTTTGGATAAAAAATACTGCTCTGTTTACATCATAAGGTTGGTTTAACCTTCGTTTATTTTTCGTTCTTCTTGGTAAATTTCATAAGCGATTTTTTCTTGATCTTGGAGAGTCTGAGTATCATTGATTTTAAAACATAGGGTTGAAAATTTTCTCCTTGTTCTTTCGTTAAAAACACTTCTTTTGGTGCTGTAATTTTGGGTTTTCATGGTAGATTTAATGTATTTATATTTTTATATAGAAATAATCCTATATTAATCATGTTATGGTTTATATTCATCACATTCTGGTATAATAAAGTAAACTTTAAAATTAACAAGTCCATAAGTTATGAATGAGCACCATTATAACTTTTCAGTTAGCAGCCTCTTATTTATAAAATGTTCACTTTGTCTGGTTTTGCCAACATACTGTATATCGCCAGCGTCAAGTTCCAAAGGTCTCCCAGTGAAGCAACCCTTGTTATCATACCTGACTACGACCCAAGAATAAAATTATTGTTTATTAGCGATAACTTCTTAGAAGTCACATGATTCATAGTATTAAAAATTCGTGCCGATATCAAAATATTTGATTTAGACATGGATTCGGCAGATTCCTCAGCATTTGGACCATCTGAACTAGGAAATAAACAATAGTAATCTTTAACATGAGGATACGTGTTTGAATAGACGAATACACAGGTATTTCGTGTCTCATTTTCATTTTCCTCATTGACAGCTGGGAGAACGTTTACGAACGGGACAATATAAATTTCAAAGAGAACGGAGACATTGGTGAAATATGGTACTATCAACTATATGTGGTCAGAAACTGTCATTCAAACACCTATTAAAAATAGTTGCCCCGATGCATAATTTATAGGTTTGGTGAATCCAGCGCAAAGAAAATCGTAAATTGGGTAAGTCAATAGCGTTTCGAGTATCTCATCCTCCTATTGTTACCATTTCACTATATACTTTCTTCCTTCATTTGTTAATAGATCTGCTCCAGGGTAAAAGATTATTCAGTTCCAATACTTGACCTAGGTTGTGGAAATGGTCATATTCTTGTCTCTCTTGCGTCCAATGGGTACACTAACCTTACTGGAACCGATTATTCCCCGAACGCCATCGAGCTAGCACGAGAGATATGTGCCAAACAGAATTTTGACATCAATTACCACATCTTTGATTTATTAGCTGACGAGGATTCGAATATTTTTAATGGGCAACTGTTTGACATTGTAATTGATAAGGGCACATATGATGCTATAAGTCTCAATGCTGAAGTAATTGAAATGAGGAAAAGCGGAGTAGATCCTTACGTAAGAAAGGTCAGAAAGTTCTGCAAAGGTGATGCTTATTTCATCATCACGTCTTGTAACTGGACTAAAGATGAATTAGTAGACAAATTCAAAGAGGGTAAGCAATCGAGCGATTAATATGATTCTTTTTACTTGCACCTTGGACCAACTCGTGAAATCACCTATCATATGAATTAACGTATATCTTTAATTACACAGGATTCAATTATCATTCCATCATTAAACATCCAACATTCACATTTGGAGGCGTCACAGGACAGACAATTTCTACTGTTGTATTTACTCCGAAATAATAAAGAGTATCCATTTATTATCACTCAATCACGCGTTCGATAAACAAGTTGCACGCAGAATATCTCTGCCCATATTGTATCATATTCATTTTGCGATTGGATTCCTGTTACTAAGATTTTCAAACGCTTGCGAATATGAACAAACAAGAAACGTTTGACATTTACTGGGAACGTTAATGTCATAATACTCGACGTCAATGAAGTGATATTCATTTATTTGACTGATTCTGATCTAGGATGTGAGTTTCTAGGTTCACGAGCACCCAATCATGATCATTTTGCCGATAATGACTTTTCCGTTAACATACTTAGAGTTCTGATCACAACAAAAAGTACCGTGAACTTATATTTGCACACATTAGCAAAAGAGCAACACGCACACTATTGATTTACCACAGCTTCGGATTGCGAGATAAATGTAGCCCATTGGACTTTTTCCCAAAAAGATACCGTAAGGGAATTTTGTTTTAAAAGGAAGACGAGGTAGAGAGCAGCTCTCACGTCATGAATTATGCTATTTGGCAAAAAATGAAATCAAGCATCCTTATATGTTTCTGCACATAGCAGAATTATGGACATCCAAAATAGTCACTCCCGCGGTCTTCTGTTATTGGAACGTTAGCTGAAATACGAAAGATTGTTCGATTAGTAAGACGCTGCAAACAGAATCGATATTCACTGCCACGTTTGTCTTGCGAACGGTTCTAAATCGGCCAGTGACACCCATGTGTCGATCAAATGTACCAAGTACGTCACTCAAATCAACTATCATGTTTGCATGCGAATAATATCATGTACAGTTCACAGCCTCAAACAATTCAAGAGAAGATTACAGAATACGAGTCCTTTGTCAATGATAAATTAAAAATAGACTTGAAGACGACTCTGGATTTGAGAGATGAGGTGTATGAACAGCTTTCCGAGTAGTAAGTTAGTTGTGAAAGTCTAGGGCTGGTTCTTGCGCATCAAACAATATCATTGATTAGTTTATTTTGTATGCGATAGTTTGAAATTGAAACGTCAGATTCAACTGATTCAAGAAAACAGTCTCCATAAAATGAAGACGATGGTTGATCTGGGGTCTAATTTCTACGTACACGCAAAAATGTATTTGTAGTTAATAATATCTTGTCATTTGTCAACAAAGATTGTTAATTGATGTAAATGTTCTTGTCAGACCTGATACCTCATACATATACGTTAATGTGGGATTTGGATTCCACGTGCAGTTTACGTTGGATGAAGCAATCGAGTTTATAAACAAAAAAGAGAAACTCTTGGAAAGGTAAGTTACTATTTTGATTCTTTAGCATCCTGTCTGTTCTTACCAATACTGTGATTGTTTTAACAGAAAGGCAGATCAGTATTCAAAGACAGCTGCAAAGATCAACGCGCACATTGCAATGGTAGGTTAAAATGTAATCCAGGGTTTATTATAAGTCATAGTAAGTATTAAATTCACCATAATTGTCTTGTTCTTACAGGTATTAGAAGCAATAAACGAAATATTAAGTTTGAAAGATGATAAAGACAAGAATACGAACACATGACATGCTAAAAAAGAAGTAATCTTGGCTCGCAACACCTTGATAAATAAAGATTATTAAAAAAGAAAAAGTCGGATAAAAGAGTTAGAGGATTTTAATAAGCCGTTTCTAAGATCAGGTTATACAGTTGAGCCTTGTTCGCCTGCAAGTTCAAAAATTGGATCAGAAATTTAAATACTTTTTGACACTCACAATAAATTGATTTTTTTGATTCGCATGCGAGCAGGTTTTACCTCTTCCCAATTTACCGGTTATGGATTCAAATTTGTGGACTCGTGCATACCACCTTGCCTTTGAGAAGTGCATATATTAATATACTAATACATTATTCAAGATTCAAAACAATGCAATAGAAGCAAATACGTCCGCAAATTAGTAGTCAGATTTGGGGCAGACTACAACAAAACCAGACATAGTGATTCTATAATAATGAATGAGGGGCTGACTATGATGTGGCTGTAAAATTGACCAGTGTGACTGATGACGTTTTGAAAAGTAATAATGGCACTCATTCATAGCTTATGGACTTGTTAATTTTAATGTTCCCTTTATCATTATCATACCAGAATAAGAATGTGGCAAATATAAACCATAACAGGATTAATAGAGGTAATAGTAATAGGGATATCTCTAGATAATATGAAATCAATTTACATTAAATCCAAAGAATTACAGCACTATTAGAAGCATTTTAAATAAAGAACAATTATTTTCTTAATTTTAATCAAGGTCATTTTTTAGTCTCTTTAATTTCAATTTGAGCAACTTGACCATTCTGTTGCCCTTTCAATAATCTGTTTTCCTCTTCTAACTGCTTAATTTTTCTTCTAAAACTCTTTTATCCTATTCAAAAGTTCTTGTTTTTGTTCCTTGCCTTTTAGTTCAGATGTTTCATGGAATTTGTCTACTCTTTCAATTTCCAAGTTGTAGTTGAAGTTAATATTAACTCTTCTTGCAATCCTTTTATTTGTCTCTCATAAAAAGCAAATGTATTTTCTCTTTTGTGAGGCAAATTTGAGAGTTCTTTTTCTTCTATATTTTCTTTTCTCCTAATACAATGACAACCAGAATCATATCTAATGTAGTTTGTAATCTACCACATGTAGTACACTTGGGTAATTATCATTCTCAAATTTTTCTTGTACATGCACTTACCTCTATTGCAACAAAATGTCGAAAGTTTGACTCAAGTAAAGGTATTGTTGGTTTATCCATAACAAGTCATGTGGTAAGGAAAGGCCACATTCAGTACAGCCCATCATGAGACAAGTCCATAATAAAAGACTCAACACAATCTCCTGAAAAAAAAAGCATCATGTTTATGGTCAATTGACATAATAATAATAAAACAGACCATTATCATAGGTATATCACCTGCATTAGTAAAAAAGAGAGACTTGTTTGGGCCTTCTTTTGCTTCAAGCAGCTGACTATAGATTAATTGATTTTTTAGCTCGCAAAGGAGCTTTGGACTTATCCTTGAGACACTGAAGAGGAGTGAAGCCAACAGGTTTAATTTCTGAGTTGAGGATGGCAATTCCATTCACACAGCTTGTGAAATCCAGATGAGTATTAGTCACTTTTGTTGCAGAGTTTAAGTGGACATCATAGTAATAGGGCTTCCTGCCTGTAGCAAATATAGGATGGAGAAGAGATGAAGAAACAAGAAGCAATGATTATCCTCAGTTGATTTAGTTGGTGCAGTTTCTGGGAGACTGAAGGCACTACATGTGGAAAGAAATAAATTATTTTTGTTACATTACCACTATTTCACTTGCTATTGCTGATTGTTGTAAACAAACTTACATTCCATTAAATACTTGTGCTGCTGCACAGCCTAATTGTGATTTTGTCACTGGAGTCATGTAAACCTCAGTTCCTTCAAGGTAATGAGCACATGAATTTTGCAATGAAATGGCAATCTCACTGGGAAGCACAGGATCATTGACTGCATGTGGATTGTCAGATAGAACTGATTCCCATTCATCATCTGTGAAAGTAGGTTAATAATATAAATAAGGACATGTGCTTGAAAGCACCATTATTGAAGACAAAGCTCTATTATTATTATTATTCACATAGCAGAAAATCATTAGTATTTGTTCTTGCACACTGTTGACATAGATACTTCAAAAATACATGCAGAATCTCTAAATGATTGTCCCATGTTAGCCCTGTGGTGGAAGCCTTTTTAAGAGCTGTTTGCTGAAAACGCTGAAAACAATATTAATATGTGACATTGATGCCATTGATAACCCACTATTAATACAAGTATGCTGTGAGATATTATTTTTATTAATAAATGTCACGGATGATGCTGAAATCGGATGATGCTGAAATCCCCGTGACCGATTTTCTGTTACCTAATCGTTGGGGGTACCGTGGCTCATAATCTCAAAAATCACGTCATAGTCACACAATTGCTCTTTATGGTTGCGTACGTCAATCTTTTATTTTGGAAATCCGTAACTGAAATCCAGCCGGAGCAGCTTGGGAATAAAGTCTCATATTACTGAAGAGGTAACTGAAATGGTGTGTCAGCGAGGTTGGAAGTAAGAAAGGGAAAGGGGAAATTGACGTTTTCTATATTTGCTAGTCTGTTTCTCGGAGCGAGAGAGAACGAATGAGACGAGGAGAGCGTAATGTCAAGACTAATCGAAAATTAGTACAATGGCATAAAAGTAAGCAGGTAAGTCATGTAAGAATAGTGAGAGAATGAAGAGGGTGAGTGAATGAGAACGAGATGAAGTAAAGTGAGACACAGTAGAGGTATACTATATTGACTTGTGCATTACTTAAATATACTCGGATTAACAATTTATTTTATTAGACAAATAAAGCATGCTATGTACAATAAACTCTATGGTCAATTTGGCTTAATTTGCGTAATTAGAATGCGAGTTTCCTTTGATCGATACCTATCCAAAGTATTATCTACATCATTATCTTCATTGTGGATGGTGGTATCTGGTGTGTACAAGAATGGGCACTACTGTTGAATTGTACGTCCTGACAAAAGCATCTATTACGTTGATCCAGTCTTTTCTCTGTAATTGATTGTGATTGTCCCATAGTAATTTCGTGAAACCTCGCCCGATTGTTTCAGTCTCTCAATTTATCCTTGTGATTGCGGATGGACATGCATTCAGATGTTGTCGTCGTTGTCGTTATGGTTGTTGCTGTGTTGTTGATGGACTTGAAATAACTTCGACAGATGATGTTCGTCGGTCTTTTATTTACGATGGTTGAATTGAAGTCATTAAATTTAGGAACGCTTTCCGCTCCGAACCTCAGTAACGGAAACTGGTTCATCATTTTCCTATCCCATCTGACCCGCTGCAGAATTCCTTTGACCGCTTCCCTTCTTATCATACGTCGTTGGCAGGTAACCTGGGGCCCAACAGTCCGTCCCAATTAGCCGTCAGTGGTAGCTATCATGCTCAGATTGCTTATGATTCAGCTGTTTCAGTGCCATCGTTGTTGACATAGATATAGAATTCGAAACTGAATTATAAGACAATTGACAATGTTAATATCATACATTGAACTTTAACTACTTCAACACATAACCAGTTTTTTTCTCCATACCTGCAGCTGAAAATCCAAATCATGGCTATTTCTCAGTTTAGGCGGATCTCTAGTGCTAGAATGTTTACTTCCCTTTTCGAGACGTGACAAAGGTTTTACATCATCATCCATATAATACTAACAGAATTGTTCTTTTTCGCCTCTTTAATAAAAACTCATAAATATCGTTCTCAATGTCTCTATGCATCTGGATGCTTATCAGAATCTCAGCATCACGACAATGCTTGGCAAGGTTCTTGTGCGAAATTAGGCATTGATGGTTATGTCCACCCATACTGAGTCTCTTGAACTACCGTCTCTGTTTTGAGATGTGTTTTGAGTGCATAAATATTCTCTGGATATTAGATGTCTGTTAACAATTCTTCTACATACCTGTTAGAATTCACCGAATCATGGTATTGTTTGTGAATTTAGGTGAAAATGGGTGACGAGATGGAGGGTTAAGAATGTAAGAATGTGTAGGTAACGAAGAAGAAAAAGGGACTCGTCGATGTCATGGCTGGTGTCTCTTCGAACGGGTTTGGTTGTTTTGTCAATCTTATTCTTGTAATTACTAGTATTATCATGGTAACGACAAAGAGAACATAGCCCCACTTTCCGAATCAACTGCAAGACAGACACAGCTGACCTCCTCTGAAACATTGTCTCATGATTTAGACAACCCGTAGTAGTAAACGTGCGTTGAAAGTGATAAGGAGTGTTGCTTTTAAAATCGTATAGCCATGTCATATAGGACCAAATACGAACGAACGTACATCATAATACAGTAATATAAAAATTTTTCATGACATCACCCCCTTTTTGAACATGTCGTACGACATACCGATGGTTTTATCCGCATACTTCACGCTTTTTACAGTGGATGCTACATTTCTGACACAGCTTTGATCGATACTAAATAGACATTTTTATCGAATTATGTTATATGACCATATGAGTAATATTCCCCTACAAAAGAAAATAATCAGAGTGATGTCATAATAAAAACAATTTATTAAATTTCATTTGTAACTTTATTATGTAAATTGTTCGTAGTTATAGTGGGCATGTACAAATAAACTCAAGTCTATGAACGTTTTGGCTTTATCCGCATAACCGGAACGCGGGTTTCCTTATTATCAATAACAACTACTGCCGTTCTGTTATTCGCCGTTAAACGTTTGAAGGTACCCGTTTCAGAGAACGTAGGCTGTAGTTTTCTTTTGCGGGTACGCTGATTATTATCGTGATCAGGTGCAATATAAATTGAAGCCCCAGCTTCAATTGTATTACTTGCACGCTTTTTACGGTGCACGCTACCTTTTTGACACATTTTCGATCGATACCTATCCAAAGTACTGTTTAAAGATTCATGAAGCTGAAGTACTTTGGACAGGTGTTGATTGACTTCATCTTCATTAACGGAATCTGATTCA